GTGCAGGTTAGGCCCTAGGTAAACATTCTACCACTGAGCTATACTCCTAGCAGAGGAGATTTTTATACTAAATTAAGGAAAGAAAGAGACGGGGTGAGGAATGGGTGGTGATAGCTAAAACTAAAAAACTCAAAAAAATTTTTTATTAGATTTTATGTCTACATTATTGTATTTGTTTGTACATAAGTAATGTTATTAAAACAGACAAAATTTAGTATTTGGGAAAATGGAATATATATTAAGGATTTATTTGTCTACAGCCATAGTAGTACTGTGGCATTTCAAAGCAGTTATAGTACCTGTAAAGCATTAGGAACCACAGAACAAGAATGAAGCACCAAAAGAAGGTTTATTAGCGGTCGGGAGGTCCTGGGTGAGGTTCACCATCTATGAAAGGCTGGGGCAGTCGCAGGCACGAAAGGCAAGAACAATGTTAATTAGGTAAACTGGAGGTAGGAGGGCCTAGGCCATCTAAATTGCAGCTACAGACAGCAGGTTGGCAGAGCCAAGTTTAGGGGGATCATGTTTGTGTGTATTGATCACGGCTGACTGAAATGATGGGAGATTGCTTCCGATGGGGTAGGAACCCTTGGTGGTTTGGGTCCATTGCCATTTCAGCTTCTGATTGGCCATTTCAGGTTTCCTCAGCCAGGTAGAAAGTCTCTGCCCACAGATACCTTGAAAGGGAAGGGGGAAGGGAAGCCTGCTGATCTAACAGTACCTAGTATAGATCTAAAGAAGTGAAAGAAGACAGATCTATTATATTCTATGTTAATAACTTCAACTGAGGTACATATTCCTTCATGACCTGTGGGGATGGTTAGTGTTTTATGAAGCCTATAGATCATCTAGACAGGACATTATTTCTCTTTATTCTTCCATATTCTAAGCTGAGAGACAAATTTTACAGTATTTTTGGAAGCAGGTGAAAAAGTATTTGTTAAATGTGTTGCAATGCAAAGTGATAATTATAGCAGAGAGAAAAATTTAAAACTAGATGTGCTATGATTTTCTCCCTCCGTTTCAAAAATAGAGCATAGATTTTTGCCATATTCATTTACTTTAAGTACATTCATTCAAAATTGCCTTTCCTAGCAAGGCTGGCATATGGTAGATAGTTTTAAGTGAATAGGTGGAACTGAGAAGACTGTTGTAGAACTGGAAAGACTGTTTTCAGATACACAGAGTTCTATTTTCACCGTATTTTTACTTGAAGCTACTTTCTGCAAATTTAACAAATTCACTAACCACATCTTTCTGGATTTAGATTCTTTGTTAAAGGTAGGGAAATCCTAGGATTCTTTGAAAAGGTATATCATGGTGAAGCAATCTTCATAGTTGTATCTGGCTTTCCCAACCATTTAAGGCACAAACTTTCATTTAATTCATTCACATTGACATTACATATTCCTCAACATTTAATGTTGTCAGAAAACTAACTTAAATTTTAAGAAGTTTGCTTACAGAGGTTTAGTTAGTACATTAAACTACAAAATAGATACTAAACATTAAATTTATTATTTTTGGTTCTACTAAAACTTATTGGTAGTTCAGTCAAAAATCATCATCTAATGAGAGACCATTTTAGAAAACACATTAAAAACCCAAACAAACACTGTTATTGCTATTTACCGGTGACGAGTCCTTGCTTCCCGAATGCTGAAGTATAACACCAGAGAAGCATGTCAAGGCAAGTGTAGAGTGGAAAGTGAAAGGCTTTATTAAAGGACAACAGAAAAGACTTCTTCCCGGGAGGAAGAAGGGAACCCGAAAGGCAGAATCCGTGGAAGAGGGAGAGCTTCCCTTTTTTATAGCTAAAGTCTTCTTTTAGTCCTCCCACATTCCTGTCCTTTGTTTCCCTCTGTCCTGCAGTGATAGAGTGCAGGTGGAAAGGCCTAAAGGTGGGAGATAGCTGGACTGGAGGAGTAATCTGGGCAGGAAGGGCCTGGGGTGGTTTGATTAGCATCTCCCTGTTTGCTGGGAGCTGCTTGTTAACAATTCCTTAGGATGGCTTCGGGGCCTTGGGGACATTAACATTTCAATTTCTCCAAGTGCTGCTCTGGTTTCCTGGAATCCAGTCTCAATAATGGTCTCCATTTAGACCCTAACTACACTGCCCTAACTACACTACCCTAACTACACTAACTAGGTATCTTTAAATCTGGCTTCAACACCACCAAAAAAGAAAACAAAACATAAATTGGATTTGGTGTCAGTGGCAGCCTGTAAGCCCAGTGAGTTTGGAGGGTGAGGCTGAAAGATCACAACTTTGAGGCCAGCTTGAACAATTTAACAAGATCCTGTCTCAAAATAAAAAATAAAAAGGGCTGGAGATGTAACTCAGGGGTAGAGTTCCTGTGGGTTCAATTCCCAATAATAAATAGTATGGGAAACAAGTAAATAATAATAATAATAAATGCTTAACTTCCTTGTCTCAATATTCTGGGAACAGGTATTGTTGGGAAAATATGATTAAAAACAATATCTTCCAACCCATAAATCTTCTCACAAGAGTAGTAAAGAAAAATTTTTGATGAAAAAGCATTAAGCCAGAATGTGATCATATCACAGGCAATTAGCTAAGGGACTGCAAAGACAGAAAGAAATCTCATCATTTTTATGTAGCTACACAGAAAGAGTCCATTCCATATTGGCCCTCAAATAAGAGAACTTATTGTCATATAATTTATCTTTTTTACATAGTTGTGGTGATCATCTAACTTAACTAATTAGTCAATTTTCCCAGAGGAAAAGCAAATTTCTTCTATCTTTATTATAGGATCATATTTTCCCAACTCGGAGCAGGACACATACTGAGGTTAAACTCCCACTTTCTCAGGAATAGGGATATAGGGGTGTTACCTCCTTTGATATTTGTGATTTTCCAGGTTCTAGGGAAAGACCTAGCTCATCTTCAAAAGGATTTGCATACATTTCAAAAAGATAAGAAAGCACTTAATAGTTACTTGTTTTCTAAGGCAAGTGCTTGGGGGGGGTAAGCTGGGGTGGGCACTGCAAGAGCAGGAAATCAACCCGCATCTCAAAGGGGAGAATTAAGCCTCTTCTTTTTAATATTTATTTTTCCTTACAGCATGTTTTGTTTTTTTGGCTTTCAAACAGTAGACAAAGTCCAACTAACGTTTATGCTTTTCTATATGTAGGGCTATTCACTGTGGTCAAATAAATAACCCTGTTTAGAAAAAAAAAAAAAAACAAACACCACTCTTCTTTGGCTCCCACATAACTCATACATTTTAAAGAGAGAGGGTGGATAAGGAGTTAATGTTAGATTTGCTCCAAAGAATGTGGTTCAACCCTTATACAAGATACAATGTCTTAAAAAGCATGCTACAGGAACATGGGAGGATAACACCGTCAAACAGTGGGGAATAACACCTTCACAAGGTAACAGATCACCTAGTGATTTTAGTTCACATTCCTCATTTCTCACCAAATTCTTTTGGTGAAGTTGCTTCAGAAACAGCCCTCACTGGAAAAGCAAATTAGTTTGGATTCTTAATGCATTGTAGAGTCTCCAAGAGGTAAAGATTTCTTACAGGAGAACGCTCCCAGGTACTGCTGTACGCTTTCATAAACAGCATCCATTAGAATTCCAATACTGTCTCATGTTTTTTAAGTCTCAGGAATTGAGAATACAGGAACAAGACACAGCTCCTGCCCTCAAGGGATTCACAGTACATTGGAGAAGCTGAAAATCATTTTAAAATAATCACCCTTAGATCAGATGCAAGTAAAATGTGGAAACGCACAGGAATAAAGGACCTGAATGTGCAGAGGTCTGCATTTCCCTTTTCCGGGAGATGTAGGCTGTTGGGATCACTCAACACCCCGCGGGCACACTTAACATTTTAATCACGCCTCCGCCCCCACCCTCCAAATTCCTTTCCCTCGGCAGGCCCGCGGGATAGTCCCTTTCAGGAGGCCCCAGCTTATCATCCCCAGCTCGGCCACTTCCCGGCCACCGCCAGGCGAGCCTCCCAAAGTTTCCTGTGACGCCGCCGTCCGCCTCCGGTCCCATCCCACCGTGGCAGCCCAGGATATTGACTAGGGAGGAGCGGGTTGATGAGGCCGGGAGAGCAGCGCAAAAGCGAAGACCTCAGGACCCCACCCAGGCCAGGGAGAGGGCTCCGAGCGCGGAGCCCGCGGTTCCACGCCTCCGCTCAGCTCGCCCGCAACTCTGGTGCACGCGTACCCACCCGGCCTCGAGCTCGGGCCCGCCCCCTCCGGGGCCTGGGCCAATCGGCCGCGCCCCGCCTGCTGAGCGCTGGTTGAGGAGGGGGTTGGGGGCCGAGCGGCATCGCCCGCCTTCCGCTCTGGCCCATTGGCTGAGGCCTCGAGGGTGCCCGGAGACCGGAGTGCACCGGGATTGGCGGCAAAGGTTCGTGACAGCGGCATCTATTGGCTGTGACAGCCCCCGTGACGCGGGGTGGCGACTGGCTCCAGTGTCTGAGGGGCTCCTGCTTGTCAGGTTCTAGGTAGGTGCGTTTCGCGCCGCCGGCGGCAGGCGCTGTTGCCCCGGGCAACGCCGCGGGACTGGGGGAGGAGGAGGGAAGGCCAGCTTAGTTGCGGGGGCAACAATCCCTGCCCGCAGTGGGGCGCCGGGTTTCGGCCCTGGCGGCCGGGCTGCGCGGATCACTCTTCCTCCGCCCTAAGCCATCTCCGCCCGGGGCTGCGGGGTTACTCGCCCATCCTGCTCTCGGCGGGACATTCCTGGTTGGGGCTGGGGCCGGTCGGCACACCCAACCCGGCGAGGCCCACCCGTCCACCAACTTCGGACCTGGAGGCTGAGGGGGCGGGTGCCGGCGCAAAAGGGCTGAGGCGGGCGAATGGCCCCGCCCCATCGCGGGATCGGGGCGCTGCGGGGTGTGGGCTACGTTGGGGGGGACAGCAGTCACAGCCCGCGGTGCCCGCACCCTTCTGCGCGCGCTCTTCTCCCCGGCGCCGCCATCCCGCTGGGTGTTACCCCAGCCCGTTTCCACCACTCGGGCCCTGCAGTCTCCGAGACCCACTGGAGCCCAACAATCTCTTCGCGTGTGTCAGTTTCTCCTGCCGCTTTTATCCTCCACCTCTCATTTCTCCTCGCATAGGGTTCCGGGCGTGTCTTCCAGGAACCCAATCAAGAGAGACATTTGTGCGAAGCTAGTACCATCAGGGGTGCTCTGTGGGCCATTTACGGATGGGAGGTATTTGGAGGCATCTTCCAGTCAGTTTTCTGCCTTAGAGTTTCCCTTAAGATCAACTTTTTGATATACTTATTAGGTTGATGTTCCTAGGGCCAGGGCACTTCTTGTACAAATTAAAAAGTCTATATGAGGCGGTCGATTTGCACTTTGTACTACATTTGTGATTTTGCTATCCACTGCTGTGCAATCCTAAATATAATTCATTAAGGTTGGGGTAGCCTTTCTTTTTGGTTCACCTTATAGTTTTTTAAAAAAATGAAGATTTGATCTTTTAAATTCAGAAGCAACTGAGTATATTCATAGTGGAATCACTATCACTTTGACACAAACCACTCTAAAGATATACTACTGTTTTCCACATATTTTAAGGAAATTTCTCAAATGAAGTCATGGTATATACAAAAGTATAACGGAAAAATCAATGAGGACAGACCAAAACTATTTTAGTGATTAAAGACTAGAAAATACTTTTCAACCCACATGTGGAACGAGAACAGGATTTTTTTTTTTTAAAAAGTTGCAAAATATATATTATTGTGCAGTGTTATAGTCCTTGTAAACCTATGTGGTCTTTATGAAGACATTTTTTAAGAGTCACAAGTTTGTTAGTGCATAGGAAGGTTGAGTTTATCTTTTATAATACAGAAAAGTTTTTATGCTTAGCATTCTTGAACCAAAGGAACTATGCTTCTAGAAGTACTGGGTATATATTAAGAGAGTATGTAGGCACACTTGAAATCCCTGTCTCTGTTTTCTTCCATAAAAGACCATTGGTGAAGATCTCTTCTGTTTCTCTTTGATGGTTGACAGTGTTAAATATACACCACCTAAGATTATTTAGTATCTGGTTAATGCAGCTTTTGCAATATTTCAAAGTTAGATGTCATTAGTCTGGAAGGAATAATTCAGGTTTTTGGTAGACAAGTCACTTTCATTTCATCTCAAACTGTTAGGTAGCTGTAACTGTGGTCTGTGAACATTTAACATCTACCATTTTTTTTCCTTCTGTATTTTACTCAGAAAAATTTTAAACTATGCGGAAAAATTGATACAAAGCATTTGTATAAAGCAATAATGTACTTTATATAGCTGTTGTATACTAAATATTAAGAAACAGGAACTGAAATGATCAAGTTTGAAAAACCAGCAAAATATATATGTATTTTATACACACACACACACACACACACACACACACACACAAATGCTGAAAGTTGCTTATTTTTGTTTGTAAATTGGAATAGCATTTGTAAACTATAATTTAATTGCATAAGACTATTCAAAGTAATTTTGTGACTGAGCAAGAAGTTATTGTCTTTGTAACCAAGCTGCAGATAAGTAAATTGCATTTTGTTGACCGGAAGAAAGGAAATCTAATGAACTTGTCATAAAAATGAAAGTTTTGTTTTATAATTGGATTCCTGTGTTAATATAGTTTTGTGCTTGATTTGTAAATCTGCATTCTTTGGAGGGAAGACCAAAAGATTACCAGTTATGTGGTGTTAGCTTAATAAATTAGATAAATCTTACATATATTATTTTGGAATAAGAATGTATTTTTATAATGAAAAAGTTTACAAATGTGAACTTTTAAACTGAAATTTTTCTAGTAATTACTTTATGGAGACAGAGGTAACTAGATTTGTCAGATTTTAATAGGACTCAAAACTTTTGGGTGTTGTATCACAAGGTTGGTAAAGGAATATTTCTTTTTTTTAATGAAGTATTTTTTATTTTTTATATTTATTTTTTAGTTTTAGGTGGACAATATCTTTATTTTACATTTACATGGTGTTAAGAATCGAACCCAGTGCCACATGCATGCTAGGCGAGCACTCTACCACTGAGCTACAACCCCAGCCCAGGAATATTTCTAATATAGCACTTCAGTTTATAATAATGGAATAAAAATAGAATTGGGTATAAATTCATATTTGCATATTGCATTTGTAATTTTCCCATACTTAGGAAATTCCTTTAAATGTTTGAATTCTCCTTTTCAGTCTTAGTACATCTACTTTTGTACCTACCCCATTTAAATACTAATTTCTTAAATATTGAAATTAAGAGATATGTCTCAGAATTTATAGATCTATGATTGCCTTGTTATTTTTCCATTTTTCATTCCTTTGGTCTACTTACGTGTGGTTAATCTATTGATAGATTTAAGTGAACAAGCGGGTAATAGTTTTGGAAATTCAATGGTAGGTTCAGTTAATTCAGAAAAAATTAGATATTTAACTTTTTTTAAAAAAAATCAAAGCTCCAGTTTTTCCTTGCTTCCTTTCTCTTTCCCTTTCTTACTCCTTTACTATTTTTCATTCAATTATACAAGTTAAATAAATTGTTAAATAAGAAGACTCCCAGATCTGAGGGAAAGCAGAAAAGAATAGAGTACTGGTAGAGTCCTCAGAACCAAATGCCTCCATTATCTCATTTCATACATATAAATATAATCCTAGTTTACCATATGAAACTGCTATATGGTTGAGAAAATATGAGGCCTTAAATAGGTAATATGATAAAGTTTACTTACTACTTTTCTATAAAAATATTCAGATTTCTTCATTTGTGAGGTATTATATATTCTGCTCTTGAAAATCTAATATTGTGCATGCCTTGGAATTAGTTCTTAAATATTCATATATGATTATTAAACTATAACTAATTTTCAGTCTACATCATTACCATTCATAATAAGCTCAATATTTATTGCTCTTTTATTAAGTATTAATTAAAAACTGTAAATTTTAAGGTAGGTGTCCTTTGCTAGGTAGGGAAATGTGAAAAGAAGAGCAGTTTATTTTGGAGTTACATAACCTGGGTTTCAGTCCCAGTTTCTCTTTAAGTTGTAGTTCCTTCATCTATTAAATGGGGATGATAAAATTACTGCATAAGGTAGTTATGTACAAGAAATGAGAAAATGTAGATAAATATCTGGATTTGGGAAGTGCTTAACTTCTGTATTTGGTTCTTAAATGGTAGCAATTTTATTTGTTCTGGTTTTCTACCATTCTAAAAATCCTTAAGTTTTAGACATAAGAAACTAAAATAATATACATTAAATTTACTTAAATTGTATGACCTTTGCACTTGTATAGAAATAATAATCAACATTTCAGATTATCTGTTCTTATTATAGTTATGAAATTACTATATCTCATTAGGAATTATCAGAAATTTACTTTAAAGGGGATTTAATCCAAAAAATTGTTAAGTTTGTCTGGATTCCTGATTTATTTTTCTTTCACCTTAGATTGTCATCTGTTGTTGGATAGTTGCCCTTTCATTTAAACCACAAGCATTTGCTGAAAACTGGTACAGAAAAACCAAAGGTTACTTTCTTAAAATTCTAACTAGTGCTCCCTCCACATTTAAGTGCATTTATTTAATCTGTTTGAAATTTAAACTTTATTTTCAAATTTAATAACACTCATTAATGAGTTGTATATTTCTTGCCTCCTGATATATATTATTATTTTTTAGGGAGCATATAGATATCCCTATTTCAGAATATGTGTTCTGTAAGCATAGGGTTCTAATTCTTTTCTTTCTTTTTTACTAGGGATTGAACCCAAGTTTTAATTCTTAAAAGAACACAGTTTAAATGTACAGACATAGTTCTTATGTGAACTGAAGCAAGCACTGAACTGAGGTAGTAGTTGAATCTCACAGCCCTTGTTTTCTCATCCAAGAGTAAAAACAGATTTTGTTATCTAAGTTAGAGTTTCTCGAATTTGTTCCCATCAAAGTAGAAGATATTTACATGTGTGACACATTTTTAAAATATTTTTATTAGTTGTTGATGCAATTTTTTAAATTGTATTTTTTTGTTTGTATGTGCTGCTGAGAATCAAACCCAGTGCCTCACATACGCTAGGCAAGTGCTCTACCACTGAGCCACAATCCCAGCAGCTACATGTGTGACACATTTTAATGTTCAGTTTTCTATCCAGTTGCATTTCTTCTTCAACCATTGAAGGAAGCATATCAGACTGCAAGTGTTAAGAGTACCATTACTAAACTTTAATCTATTCTGATTTATTGAAGGAAGCAAATCATTAAAAATGTGTGTAACTGTTATTACTAACATATGTTTGAGACATACCTTACAGTTCTATTGTGGAGACCCAAAGTATTTCCACATTTTCTTTCTTTTCCTTTTTATTGGAGCATTGCAGTTATGCATAACAGTGGGATTCATTGTTGCATAACAGAAGGATTTATTGTTACATAGTCTCATATACAATGTAACTTTATACAATATATACAATGCAACAGTATACAATAATATGATATAACAGTATACAATGTAATGGCATAATTTGGTCAATTTAATTCTCTAGTATCCCCCTTCCCTTTCCTCCTCCTTCCCCCTATTCCCATATTTTCTTGAAATGAATGTCTTTCAAGTTTTCCTAATCATTCTTCTAATGCTATAGAAGAAAAGATTAGTACATTGATTTTTATGAAATTGATAGTGAAGATCCTTTGTTTAAAAGTTAAACTAATTTAATGAGTGTTTAAAAGTATTTGAATAACATCATCACAGTCTTTATTGTAAATAAAATAATTGTAGAAACATTGAAATGAACTATTTCACTTGCAGAAAGACTCTTTCCAGAGTGGGACTAACAGTTTTGGAGGATAGAGAATCTCTTATTACACATTTAAAAAAATTATTCTAAGGGACCTAGTATATAAAAATGCCCTTTATACTGGCTCATCCAGAAAACTATCTTTAAAATTACATTGCTGTGAATGATATTGTTTTAAAATTGGTCATTCTATGTGGGAGTACAGTTAGAAGTGAAAACTTACAAAAACTATGTTCAGTAGATCCTTGATATTTCTAAGTGTTATTTCTTGAAATCTTTGTGAATCTTGGATATAACTATGTCCATAAAATGAAGTCAGATTTAACTGAAAAATATAAATGATCCCTTCAGACTCTGAATGATTCTATAAATAAGACTTAAATCATTAAAGTTGTTAAATAT